TCTGCCCAGCTCAGTGTAATGTTGCAACAACAAAGTGGTGAAACAAGACAATTGTGGGGAGCAAGTGCACTATCAAAGACCATCGTTTTAGCTGATGCAAATTTTCAATGTCAGATAGAAATCTATGGAATCAAATTAAACTTAAATTAAAAATTTTAGCATACAAATGTCTCATCTTGAGAAAACATCTTGAAATTTGAATGCGACAACAGTGAACCAAAACCTATATCTAATCAGTGAAATATTTTAGAGTATAAAAAATGGTAACACTCTGGAATTATGTTCAACTGATTAACATTTACTAATGTATCAAGTATAATGAACTATCAATAACCATTTGTAAAGCATTTATTCATCATGTTAATTCATAACTATACTATTGTTCATTAACTAATGTCAATTAATGCAACTTAAAAGTAAATATGGTAACATTTAGTTTAGGGACCAATTCTCACTATTAACTAGTTGCTTATCAGCATGCATATTACAAGCATATTGCCTGTGTATTAATACTTATGAAGCACATATTAATGCCTTATTTTGCATAATCATTAGATCCCTTAATCCTATGCCATACAACTTAGCAACTACCTTACTAACTATTAATAAGCAGCAAATTAGGAATCTATTGAGGCAAAATTCATAGTTAATAAGTTAATGAGAATTGGTCCCTAAACTAAAATGTGACTGTAAAGATTAGTGTATTTAGAATAGGGTTGGGCCGATAGACGATGCCATCGTCCATCGCCGATGGCTGATAGACATCACGATGTTGAGCCGGCATCGTGACCCCCCCCATTCCCCCCGCATCCCAATACTGTGTTCGGAAAGAAAATGACGTGCAGGCGGAACCCCTAAAGGGAATAAATACGAGATGGGAGCAAAATATATATTTCAATATTTTTCCTCACAGTTATATAATTGGGTAATTATACTACATATATATTTCTGCATCAGGGAGCAGCTATTATACCTGGCATTGAAACTGGCATCATGCTTTTGAATGCACGATCGCTTTTAGTTTCTCTTTCACTTTCGAGATTCGCGATCGCACGTACTCTGTTTATACTATGGAGCGGCAGTACTTACCACACATTTTACAAGATTATATGTTTGTCAGTGGTACTGAGGATCTGCAAATCATTCGCCATCGTCCTCAGTCATCTCTCCTTACTCTGTTTATGTGGTAAAATTTTATGTACTGTAATGTAACAGGCAACCGTTACATCGTGTCTACACCGGACGTGACAGTTGTCGTGTCGCGCCACGCTGCATCAGCTAAAGTCTGTCTACACTGACTTTACTGATCTTCAAAGCAACCGTCGAAAATCATTTGAAATTTGTGTTAGCACGTCATAAATAGAACGCAGCAGCAGTTTACTGTCTGGAATTTCAAAATCATTTGAAATTTGTGTTAGCACGTCATAAATAGAACGCGGCAGCAGTTTACTGTCTGGAATTTTGCCGTGCCGCATCCAGTGTAGACAGCATCACTGATTATAATGAGTTCTATAGACTGATCTATATATAATAAATCTCTATTATAGATCAGTGGTTCTATAGTATTTTGTCGCACCACGCTGCTCGCGTCCGGTGTACACACGGTGTTAGGAATCGCGTTTTCCCTTATAAGGATTCACGCTTTTGGCACACCCCCCTAACTCTTCCCCC